ACCTTTTTTTGAACGGATCGTGACCCACCTTTGTTTTGAAGGAAGTTCGGACTAATTTTTTTTAAACGGATTTGTAGACCTTTAATTAATTTAGTTGTTGCTTGTTAATTACTTCTGCAAAGTTACACTTAATGTGTCCTTACATGGTACTGTCACAAAAAAAAACATGATGCACTTATATACATTTTTCTGGTACTTCATTCAATTTGATCCAAGTACCTTTTCAGATTACTATTTTGCATTCCATTATCTGAAAAAAATGAAGTTTATACTAATTATAATGTAATTTATATTTATTACTTTCAGTTAGATCAAGAGCTCTAAATCCTCCACGGACATATCTTATTTTAGTTGGAGGGAAAAACACCAATGTGGTCGCTCTATCATCACACGCATCCGGAGTCAGGAACTTCATGTATGAATCAAACTAGTTGACTATTTTATTCATTTTTCAAATCATGTTCATTTTTATAATTACTAATCGTTATAAATTTCTCAGATGCATGTGCGCACTATGCAGCCGGTGCGGCATTAGAGATGCGTACGTGGAAGATTTGCCTCATCAAGGCCGGACCTATTATTGCAACATATGCATCGATAATATCACCAAAAAATGCAAGCCAGTAATAGATGTCTTTAACTATCTCAAGGCGTCTGACGGTGTACCATCAGTGGATGGAAAAAACGTACGTGCATACATAGTTTAACGTTATTAATATGAGTAATATTTTAACCTTTTGTTTCAAATTCATCATTTATTACATGTAATGATGTACTTGTGACATAAAAAATTGCAGGTATATAAAATGAAAGATTTCATGCGCTTAAGGCAACAACGAGATGTGACTGACTTGGAAAAGATGATGCAACATTTGATCATCGACGGACCGATAGTCGGAGGCTTTCCAATTCGAAAAGATTTCAAGCCACACCTTGAAGAAATTTATCGTTGTGAAGGAGAGCGACAAGAACTAAAGAACGGGAAGGAACAACGTCATTGTGTTACAATAGTAGGAATGTGATTAGATAGTAATTTTAATCCGTTTTGGGAATACATGGAGTCATGTTATCCTTATAATTGTACATATCATAAAGATGGTTTCGGTAGAATTGCACTGAATGTCATTGATAAAGCATTCGTGCCAATTATCTAATTATAACTACTTTTTCTCTTGTAAAGTATAATTTCGTTGTATTAAATTTTGCTTTGAATTTATTTATCCCCTTCAATGTGTTATTTGATAAACTAAATAATAGTCAAGAATAAGGATTAGTTTGACTCATAGTATCAAGAGAAAAATGTATAATAATTCATTTCAATTCAAATATATTTATTCTAATAAATATAGAAGGCCATACATTTATAAACTTAATAATAGTCAAGAATAATGATTAGTTTGACTCATAGTATCATGAGGAAAATGTAGAATAATTCATTTCAATTCAAATATATTTATTCAAATATATTTATTCTGCACTCTTTATTCTTGTTGTTTCCGTGTATTTAGTCTTCCTTATTTTAGGCAGTCTCTTATTAATGAGTCAATAATTAAACCCGCTACTTGATATGTTCATTCTTCTATTAACCCGCCACTTGATATGTTTGACACACTACTTGATATGTTCATTCTTCTATTAATTGATTCTCATAATTAACAACTAGTTATTGCATAGTTGAAGTGATAATTAAAAAACACTAATCATTCACAACACAAACAACAAAATTCAAAAAGTTAATGCAATATTCATCCAAAAGACTGTTTATAATCATCGTAATACATGCAGACACAAAATAAGATTCAAATTCAAAACGTTAAAGGTAATTCAAATATGATAGCCTTCAAAAACGTCTGGATCGGGAAAAGACATTTCTAAATTGAGTGTTTGCACACTTTCAACACACCCTGTTAGAGAGAAAATGTAAAAAAAATTGACATGCTCTGATACATTGGGGGGCGGATACACAGTGTGACAGTGTGTAGGGGAGTTGCCTTCATCAAAAGTTCAGTTTTAGCTCACGATACATTAGAAAAGTTAACAAGATCATAAATTTGCCCACAAATAAAAACTATTTACCCTATAAATTATTGAATGACTCAATTTAAATGAAAAGAAGAATATCATATTTTATTGGGAACTATATTATATTTAGAATACTTTATTTCCTTGTGGGTAATCATTTATTTATAGTGATAGTATTTGATTAGGTTCTGATTTATTTTCCTTGCTTTTATAGTTGACCGATCCCATTATATCGGATCACGTGTTGTATAAGTAGTACATTCTCTTCATCAATACATACGGAATTATATTTTCCTTCTCTTTTTCGCAGATCAGAATACTATTGCGTGTAAACCAGTTAGTTATCATGGTATCAGCGCATTGATCACCACAACTAATTCATATATTAGAGTGAGAAATATAGGAAATTCATAGAATCACATAGTTTTTTAAATATAGCCACATTTCCACATAATAGTTGGTGGACTCAACATATATTTGATCCAAAAGTTTATGAAAAAAACAAAAAAAAACTTTCATACACTATTTAAAAACTCTCTCATAACAATCACACATATAGTAGACATTTACAAAGAAGAATATTACTTTGACATTGAGCAAAAACTCTTGCGCCTTGCACGATCAAACACTAGTCTTTCTTAATAAGTGTGATCACAATCTATTGTTAATTAAATTCATATCATATCTACTAAAGCAAATAGATTTTTAAAATGGTTTGAGCATGGTATGGTATAGTGTAGTCTCATTTCAAGATGGGATGGTATTGAAATATTTTATTCAAAAGACATTTAATCATAATTAATAATTAATACAATGTATATGTGTATCATACCTAATGTCTAAAAGGCGTAAGACACGCTAAGGCGGCACGGCCAAGTCTTAAGCCTTTGAAGTCTAGGCGGGTTTAGGCGTGACTTAGGCGTGAAAAAGCGTTTTGAGTTTTTTCTTTATTTTAATTTCCCTAGAGATAATTTTAAATATATATAAATTTAATATTATATAATGTATATAATGTTATTTAATATCGTCATAATATTCAAATTTTCAACAAAAAATATTTATCCAGTCCTAAATCTAGCAAATATATTTTGCGGCAACACAAATGAAAAACTCATTGAGTAATAATATTAATATTAATAAAAAGAAATAATATGTAATGTTTTATCAAAATGCATATATGCAACAAAAATGTGACTTATTAGTAACTTTTAGTGACTACAATTAGGTTCTAACTTTACATTATGGTGAGTATAAAAACATACTTACCGACAATATGGTGACCGTAAAAACATACTTACCGTCATGTGTCACACTTTTTGTCCATTAATTTTATTATAGTACTACTTTAGATAAAATATCTAATAAGAATGATAATAGTGAGGATGTTGATAATGATAATAAGAAAATATTATAATACTAGTAATATAATAACGACCATATAATAGGGAGTACATAATATGCAATGTACAGAAATAGAAATATTAACAATAACAATACTTGGTATGGAGTACTACCCTACTGGAGTAGTAGTGTGAAAACAAAAAATTTGCATGTTCCTCTATAATACGGAGTACAACTTTCCCACACCGGTTGGCAAAGAAGAAGTCATCTTCACAGTCCTTTATAAATTACTCTGTCTAGCTACTCTTAATTGTCCATAGGAAATTCCTTCTTCATTAATTAGTGTCTTTTGTTGCTCAAAATTGAAGGCTGCAGTACTTTTTCTGTCTTTGGTCACGCCTAAGCCCAATGCGAGGCGTTTCAGTGACGCGTCATGCCTAGACTCGCCTTGGCAGTGCCTTTTGACGCCTTTTAGAACACTGATGGTATCCCATGTGGAACCATGATTTAAAATAGTGGTACGCAACATTTAGTTCTCGGCTGAGCTAAACTACTTTCTTAATTGTCTCAATCATCTCCCAATTGTAAGTATACAATTTTCTAGCCTCTCTCATGATTTCATGTTGTTTTTGCCTAAATTTGTCCTTTCTATTATAAGAAGATCCCAACATTTTAGTATCATACATAAATATTCCATCAAATTATCCACAAAATTCTTATTTGTGCAACAACGACAATCACTAATTCCAATTGTTAAAACAATTAATGAATATATCTTGTGTATAGAATTCCATTCAAGATAAGAGAACTTTCAATCCATTAAGCTTACCATGCATATTAGAATTCTCATCATATTTTTTATCTCTAATTTTGGAAAAAGATAATTAATTTTTTCGCAAAAAAATTAATCACCAATAGCACTTTTCAGGAATGGTTGTGTAAACAACATGTTTAAATGCATGAACTTACTCAATCATAACTTTGTGGAGTTCAAATGTCTTATAACAATTTTCATCATATGATCATACGCTATTTGAACGAATTATTACTTCATCTAATAGTTATGTTTTTATCTGGATTGGGGCGCAAATTTTATTAGAGGTACTAGTAATAGCTCCTGGCCCCCAAGCTTATCCATTGACCGCAACGTCAACTTAAAACCATATACTAGTATGAAACACTTTGTATAGATGGAGTTGAGATGGAATCACACTTGAAAACAATCAATCAATTAATTAAGTATTGACTTGTTAATTAATTAATTAAATTAGGTGGCTAGATTCTTGGATGTACAAATTCATCGGTCATTCCGTGCTCACCACTGCTGAACTCCTGGCTGGACAGCACCGACTTTCTGAACTTCTTCATGTCGTACGGGTTCCCGTCGTACTCAGAGCTGCCGCCGGAGCCGAACGTGGTGGCGCTGCTGTTTTCGCTTTTAATGGCGGCGGCGCTGTTGAGATCGTCAAGAGAAACGTCTCCTTCCAAAGCACGCACAATTTGGCTCATCTTGGGACGCCTCCGGGCGGAGTGTCGGATACTGGCGCCGGCACAGGCCACCATGCGGCTCATCTCTTGCGGGTCGTAGTTGTTTTCTAGCCGTGGATCCACCAGCTCTTCATAGCTTCCTCCCTCTGCCGCCCGCATGAGGATTGGCCTTGCCTGCACTCACCTCAGACCATGAATCATTAATTAATTAAAGTTAAATTCCCAAAACAAAACGCGACTATGGACATTTTTCTAATAGATATGACTCACCGTAAAATTAAAACATACGCAAAAAAAAAGATTAAGTATGTTTTATTCTTCAAATAAGACTTATTTTTTCATATTTAAAGAGTAATTTGATATATATATAAAAACCAAAATAGGAGAGAATGAATCATATTTTGGGAGTAAAACTCTGATAGTCCTATTTATGAACTTTATTTATGATGTAGTTTAATTTTATGAGTTTTCTCCTTTCTTTTAAAAAAATATCAAGTTTTTTTCAACACTAAGAGTAAACCATTACAATGATGAAATCATATGGTTATAATATGGAATATGAAACTATGATTCTATTTTAATTTGATTTCAGAACGTGCGTATAAAATAACATAGGGTGTTTGTAATTGATTGCGTTTTTATTTTTTTCTTAATTAAAAGCAAAAGTGGAATCTAGGAGCAAATTAGAGCACTCAAAAGTACTAATGCATTTTCACTTAATATCTGTTTATGCTTTCTGAAAAAACAGAAAATAATTTTTTCACCTAAGCAATTTTTTCAAAATAAATCACCTTTTTTTTACTCCTCTAGGCAACTTTTTCAAATAAATGAGTGCGTATTTTTGTGGATCAGGTTATATATATATATATATATATATATATATACCATAATACACAAATGGAAATTTAATTTTTATCGATATATGACTAACATATATGTAGGTATAGAGTATATGTTTCCGTAAATACGACTATCAACTTACTATTTCTTTGTATGACCTTTATGTAATGAATGAACTTCTTTATTGAGTTATTAATTAAGTTTCTTTATCTGTGACCAAATCAACAAGAAGTGATTGAAGTTTCGACCAAATCAACAATATCATAATAAAATTTTATGATATTGTCACATGAAGTGCTTAATTATGTGGAATAATTAAGCTATATAATAAAGTTGTGAATGCATATATACATACCCAATCTACAAGGCTATCCTCGTCATCATTGCTTAAATCAACCGGACGTCTTCCAGTTATGAGTTCCAAGAGCATTACTCCATAAGAGTATACATCTGATTTTTCGGTTAATTTGCCACTTGATGCATACTCTGGAGCAAGGTATCTGATTCAATTAAACCAAATACATTTTATAAGTTTAAGGAAAGTTAATTAAGGAATAAAGAAGTTCAACTAATTAATTAACTAAGAACTTATTATCATTCTAGCTAGGTTTCTAGTTTTTATTTGATGTTTTAGAATACAATACATGTACTACGTATCATTCTAAGTAATTGACAAAAAAACATTACTTTATGACCAAGTGACTGAAAATTCGGCGCATTAGCCCCCTGTGATTTAAAAAATGCGTCAAACCCCCTTGTATTTTAATTAATCATGCACAGAACCCCCTTTATGAATAAATTTAATGATTTGAAAATCATTTTTCCTAATATTTTGATTGAATATGCAAATTAAATAAATATGTCAAAATCTCTGAATCATACAAAAATGTTAATCATTTTTCTTTTATTTGACAATTGAATTTGTTCACATAAGGGATTTGACGCATGATTAATTAAAACACAAGGGGGTTTGACGCATTTTTTAATTTACAGGGGACTAATGCGCCGAATTTTTAAATCACAAGGGGGTTTGGTGTATTAAACCCTAATTCGAGATGACTATTTTAACTGTTCTTTCATTTCTTTTTTTTAAATTATATTAACATATAATCCGTACTATGTATAATTTAAACATAATTTTTCACAATTCCGTAGATTCAATCAATTTAGCCGCTTCATTTCACCGATTTCAGCAGATTCACTTAATTATTCCATTGATTCAACCAATCTCAATATTATTAAATGACGCTATTTATCATTCATAGTTTCTAGCTGCTAAGTTTATGAGTTTTATTGCATTTTTTCCTTTCTAAGTAAGAGAAAAACTTATGCACCGTGCTAACCATGCTACATTTTGTAAAGCTGATAGTTTATAACTGAAATTCATGCTAATTTCTTGTTTCTGTAATCTTATTGTTTTTCGTTTGTAAATAACCATGCCATAAACCGACGTTGAATTAAACAGCTTTGCTTTAACATATTTACCCGAATGTTCCCATGATACGTGTGGACACATGAGTGTTGTTGTCGGAGGAGAGTTTAGCCAGTCCAAAATCAGCAACCTAAACAAAAACAAACCATAAATTATTTACAATATATATACTACGTAATGATCTTCAATTGAAACTAATAATTAATGGCGATGGAATCATGCATATATATTTTTAAGTTTTTCTATTTGATTTGTGTCACATTTCTAGGTGAACCCATATTGTATTTGCATAATTGCGTCCATTTTTATTTAGTTCAACATTCAACTTCGAACACGTTTATGAAACCGTAAATATTGGCCCTCCAACAGTAAAAAAGAAAAGAAATTGTTAATAATGGGGTGTAAGTTCTTATATTTTATTTTACTATGTTAGTGCAAATATTAATTGATGATAAAAATGAGTTGTAAACTCAAAATTGACTTACAAAATACGAAGCAACCCCCAATTATACGTACTAGTCATTTTTAAAACTACTCAAATATAGGAGGGAGCCATATGAAGTTTATTAGTGTAATTTGTTGCTATATATACTATGGCTCACGATTTGCTAGTTTCGTTTTGACTTCTCTTGGTCTTCTATTTAAGTTTGATTCGTACTATTTTATAGAAGTACATATATTCATAAATTATAAACTTAAATAATGCGGGTATGCTCTTTCCAAATTTATATCAAGACAATCTGGTAGAGTGTTTCCTTATATACCAAGTATAAACGGATCGCGGATACGATCGAATACAACTTATAAAAACTAATCAACTGTAACGTTTAAAGAAGTTTCAAGTTTGATTTGAAATGAGTCAAAACGAACGATTTTGAATTGGGAGAGAGGGTAAAGCATATCGTGATATGGATCAATGGCATTCAACCGTTAGCGGTTAGCGGATAGCGGGTTATGTTAGCGGGTTGTCAATGGCGGATTCGATCAACGGTTTGACTAGCGGTTTAATAATAGGGAAAATGGAAACTAATAATCCAACCTTTTAGCGGTCTTCTTACAATAGTCTCACATTTTGATTATTCATGAATAATCCAACCTTTGCACCTCATCTTCATTCACTGGTCCTTGACCGGTTGATGACCTACTATTCCAAGTTATTTTCTTATCTTTGCAAACCATTATACCATAAATCTCACCTTTCACAAAGATAATATTTTGCAAAGATAAGAAAATAACTTGGAATAGCAGGTCATCAACCGGTCAGGGACCAGTGAATGAAGATGAGGTGCAAAGGTTGGATTATTCATGAATAATCAAAAGGTGAGACTATTGTAAGAAGACCGCTAAAAGGTTGGATTATTAGTATCCATTTTCCTTTTAAAATATAGCTGTTTGGCCATAAAATTAGCAGAAAACACCAGTTCGCAAAACACCAACTTAAAACTCTCCTATTAGCAGCGTTTTTATTTCAGGATTTTCATCCAAAAACGCTGGTGTCAAACAATTATTTACCTAACAGCTTTTTCAATTATTGAAAAACCCAAAAGTGGTCAAACCGTCACTTTCGGCTGAAACACCATTTACCAAACACCCCCAAAGGCCCCAATATGGACATGTGGCACTCGAGCTTCAAATTGGTTCATATATTTGTGCGTGCAAGTGGTAGAGCCTAAAGTGTTGAGAAATTCAATCTCAAATAAGGATTTAATCTCACCGAAACATGATAAATTCATAGAATCAACACATATGAATACTAACCGGTTGGGGAGAAACCAAACTTTGATTATATAAATGGTCCAAGGGCACTTAAATGGAATATTTTCCAACATAAAGTACTTACTTACCATTGCCTCAAAATTGTAGTCCAGCAAAATGTTTGCAGCCTTTATATCTCTGTGTATAATGCGAGGGTGACCTGCAGTTAATAAAAACACAAATAAGTGTTCCTGTTAACGAGATGAATAAAATACGGAGTACATAATTAAGAAAAACCATATTGAAATTTGAAAGCTGTATCTATCTCACTTTAAAGTGTGCTTTGAATTGGGCAGAATTTGTTTGATTATTAAACAGAAGTATTTCATTTTTTCCTTCATAAACCAAAGAAATGAACCATCCGTAAGCTTTGTATGGTATTGGGTAATTAATATCGATATTCTTTTTATTCAAACTTGGTTTCAAAAGCCTTGCGGGCCTCCGCGATCGAGTGGCAATTATATTGCTCATCCCTAATAGTACAACAAAATCTTAAATGCAATAATGTACGAAGTATATATGAACATCAATTAAGTTTTTTATTAGACCCAAATTTCTTATGCGTATTTTATAATTCTCATAGTCTAACTTCATCTTACCTCTAATTTGAACTGAACTAGCTTATGACTAAAATCAGCACAATCCAAAACATTCTTAATAAATGCTGCAGTAGTAGTTAGAGACTCAAAGAACGTATTCATTCTCCAACGAAAAAAGGCAATTTCTACACCGAAGTTGTATACATTTCACACACATTGTACATAATTGTGTGCACACAAACAATGTGTACCACCCTCTAATTGCCTGTGTACAAAGGCAGCTCGTATAGCATTGTTTGTGTGCACAGATAATTACATACAAATGTGTGCAAAATATGTACAGATTTTGTGTATAAGAAGAATTGATGTTGAATTCTCACACCGGAAACGTGTGAAGGAATTAAGTGTTATGTTAAGACTCGAGGTTCCATCCTAAATGGTCAACCTGATAGGAGGAGTAATCCGGATCTTAATATAGCACTTAATTCCTTCACATGTTTCCGGTGTGGGAATTTAACAATTGATGTTCTCCAACAGTTATAAAACATACTCTGTGCTTTTTAAAGTACCTGAAATACTTGGTAACGCAAACATTTTGGGAGGGAGGGGTACTTTTTTACCCCCAGGGGTCGGGCTAGGGGGCTGGGGTAAGATCAAGTCACTCCATTGAATATTGAAATCGGAACCTTCCATAATGTAGAGTGAGTCGACGACAGCCGAACCGCATCCTCAAGGATGAAGGGGCATATATGTATGTGTCATGTGTGTGTGTATTAAATTGATTTTTATATCATGATATGGTGAATATATGAAAGGTTACCAAAAGTATAAGTAGTATGAACGGAATATTAAAAAGAGTTTAAATTACGCTAGAGGAAAGAAAAGAGTGGATGGAACTCACAATCTTCGTGTAAATAAGCAAAGCCCTTAGCAGAGCCTAGAGCAATTTTAAGCCTCGTTTGGAAGTCCATAACTGGGCGACCACTTCCATGAAGGTGATACTCAAGAGTCCCATTTGGAACAAACTCATACACCAACATCCTTTGTGGGCCAGCTATGCAGTACCCCACCAGAGACACAAGGTGCCTATGGTGGACCCTACTAATGATCTCCACCTCAGCCTGAAACTCCCTCTCCCCTTGACCGCTGTTTGACTTCAAGCTCTTCACTGCAACCTCCTTCCCGTTGGGCAGGACCCCCTTATGGACGTACCCAAACCCGCCCTGCCCCAGCAGGTTCGCCTGCGAAAAGCCCCCCGTCGCTGCCGCTAAGTCGTTGTATGTGAAGCTGCTCTGGTTGAAACCTCCGATGCTTGGCCGTGGAGGCGCCATTGCATGTGGGTGTTGGCCGGAGTAGGCGGCAGAGTTCATTTCACCGCTGCTTATCATTGGCGGCGGCGGAGGTGGCCCCATTGGCCATCCGTACTCTGAGCTGACTGCACCACTTGGTGGGCCCGCTGGCGGTGGCGGTATCTTGACCATATGCTCCCCGGAGTGGACGGCGGCGTTGTTGTGCCAGTTTCCATTATTCTCTCCTCTGCCTTGATAGTAGTTACCTATATATATGTATGAATATAGAATTAGACATCTACATATTTCATTTTATGTATAAAAACAAAAGTAGATAAAATTCTAAAGTAATGCCTTGTCCTAAAGGTGAAATTTACTACTACGTATTACATATAACGGATTTAGATCTAATTTTATCTACTTTTACCGTTGGGGTAGTAATGGATATGGGCACGTGACTTTCGCTTTTTACGGCGACAACAACAAGAAATCAAGAAGGCAATCAAAATGAGAAGCAAAAGTCCTGCTCCGGCTGCTACTCCTGCAATTGTCGCTTTTTGATCATCAGATAATGTTTTCTCAGATGATGAACGGTGTGACGACGGGGATGAATTCGATTTATGTTTCGCCGCTGGAGGAAGCTGTGAACGGGACGGAGGAGGTGGCGTAGGGAACGAATTCGATGAACTAGGTGGAGGCGACGATTCGTTGTTGTTGGCAGGAGGGGGAGGAGATTGATTGGTGACGTTCTCAGAGGCTGGAGGTGGTGAGGTTTGGTTTGAATCAGACCATGGTGGAGAAGATGAGGAGTCGGGAGGAGGGGGTGGAGAAGAGTTTGATGGTGGTGGTGGTGGAGAACCCCAAGAAGAAGTATTTTGTGAAGGTGGTGATTCTGTAGGCGAAGACATTTCATACAATGTCTTCGCCTCAATCTCTTGATAATGATATCTGCTTCAGCCCCTCCCAATCTCCCAAAAGTGACCCTGCAAATTGAGCACAACAAATAAAAAGAAAATGTGTTAAACATCAATCCATCAAACATAGATTAATCTTTGTATGAAATCGTTTTGCAAAAATCAAACCTAATATTGTATAAACCTTATTTAGGTAAAACAAGAATTAGAAAAATATTAAGTATAAGATTTTAAAAAATGAACATGATCAAAAAGTAAAAAAAAAATGTTTGATGATTCTTAAACACCACCTCTACCCAAAAGGTGAGAGGAGATTAGGAGGAGAAATGAATGAAAGATGATACCTTTAGGAGAAGGGCAGGCAAGATTGGGAGAGAAAAGAGAGAAGGAGATATGTGTTATTGTATGGGGGTATCGTTTGAATGAAGAAAAACATGATCAAGAGGATTTTGATCCCTAACCATACACACCTCCTAAATGAGGGGAACGAACTTTTCTAGTTCTCTATAGCTACCCACCATTTTAAGCCAATTGTCACCTCTCTATAGTCTATAGCACTCTATAGTCTATAATCGGATTATGCCTACAAAATTTGACACATTCATTCAACTTTCCCTCCGTTAGCAAAAAATAACCGTTGTGTTTGCTTGTGATTGCTGAAAATGTCATTAATTAAAAGTGTGTATTCCTAATATTAGTAATATACTCCGTATTTATAAGAAATTGCCATAGCCAGTAGGCGCTAACACAAGCTTTGAGTTTTTATTGGATTTGTATAAAACCTACGTCTTTTTTTATTGTATCGTTCGTCTATTTTGAATTTGTAATTTTTCCCTTTGCTTTCTTTTCTTTCGACATAAAATTTTAGACTAATCATTCATCTATTGTTCATTAGTTTTTTGTCATTATTGTTGAGACAAAATTGCATATTTGTTCTATAATAACCACAACACTCCGCATTGACATTTAAAGTAAGATGATGCAAATGATTATAAACTCCCCATTGAGAATTGTCTCTTCTGGATAACCCGATAGTAAATACAGTATACACTTAGATCAAAACTAGAATATCTTAGACTTAGGCTAATGTCACTCCCTAATACAATTACTATGATGGAAAAATTATATGTTCTCTACTAAATGCAAGAACCAAAAATATAAATGCTCCCTACTATGGAGTATTGAGTCCCGTTCCTATCAGGAGTTCCTGAAGAGCAGGCCCGTGCGGACAAGCCCATCAGAGGGTCTTCCCGGTGGAATTTTTTGATGAAATTTTTTGAGCATGTTCCTCATCAAGTCTAGTTTATCCATACCAAAATTCAGCTCAAAATTCGATCGGGAAGGCAGTCAAATAAATTCTGGAAACATACTGCACATTATATGTGCGCAGAATGCTCAGTATTTTTCCAGAATTTATTTGACTGCCTTCCCGATCGAACTAGACTTGATGAAGAACATGCTCAAAAAATTTCATCAAAAAGTTCCACCAGGAAGACCCTCTGATGGGCTTGTCCGCACGGGCCTGCTCTTCAGGAACTATGTATATGAACTGCCCTCATGGAGTATTTATATTTACAAAAACATCTCCAATATTACAATGTACACGGTGCACATCGTCATGAAAAAGATAGACTCATAAAAAAAACATTTCTCTTGTTTTTTTAAAGGAAGACATTTAATTAACATTAATCAAATCGTTGGCCGAAGCCGAAACAATGAAAGAAGGAGGAGAATCAACCCAACACTGCGAATCAGAAATAGAACAAGCCGCCCGGGATAACAAATGAGCGGGCTTAGTCAGTGATCGCCTCACATGACATAATGAAATAAACAAAAATGAATTCGCTATGTCTCTAATGTCGTCTCTCAAAAGTCCCACCAAAGAGCAGCTTGAACCCCAAGGATTTCCGAAATTGCTTTAGCTGCATCAGATTCAATTTCCGCCGAATTGATGCCATACTCCTTCAACCAGCTTAACGCCTCCCGAATACTCACGAGTTCAGCTCCCAAAGCTGTCATCACTCCTGGCCACGGTCTTGAAACCCCTGCCACGAACTCGTCTTCCGAATTCCTCAAGCACCAACCTAGCCCGCATCGGTCTGCCCGCGTTGCCGCATCCACATTCAACTTCCATCTTCCTTGGACTGGTTTGCTCCATAATGCATGCCCCTGTTGGATCATCGGCTTCCATCACCCGCTGGAAACCTGCTGCTGAGCCTGCTGCCAGCCCTCGACAAGAGCCCGACCCTGGAGTGCTGCCTGCGACGGGGAAGAAGTAGTCCCCTGCCAAACTCTCTGGTTCCGTTCTGTCCACAACGACCAGCAGCCCCATATGAATCTCTCCAGGTCCGTCTTGTTCTTTCTCCTGAACTCCTCGCTAATCTGCTGCAGGAAATCTAGCCCTTCTGCCGAGCTCCATTGCCACCGAATTGCTGCCCAAAGATCCTTAGCAACCTGGCAGAGTCTAAACAGGTGCACGCACAATTCAAGATCCGTTCCACACAGCCCGCAAAGCCCCGAACAATTTACTCTTCGAACCTGCAAATTAAGCCTTAAGGGAAGACACCTGCTACAAACCTGCCAAAAAAACATTTTAATCTTAGGTGGAATATTAAAGTTCCACATGGCAGTCCAAAGCATCCTCGGCTGGGTATCCAGCTCCCCCCTTAGCTGTCTATAACAGCTCTGAACCGAGAATTGACCGCTTTCCTCCCATCTCCAACAAATTGAATCCGCGATTGATGACCTCCTCAAAGGAATACCCATTATAAGGGTCGCATCTCTTTCCTCAAAAATATCATTGATGACATCTCTATCCCACTCTCTGCGATCAATGCATAAAAGATTCGCCGCCACCGCCTCCTTTAAATCTTCATATTTTTCAGATAAAATCCGAGGATTTTCCTTGTCCGGGAGCCATGGTTCCTCCCAAATATTAATAGAGTGCCCGTCCCCAACTCTCCAGTAATAGCCCCCACGAATCACATCTTGGGTATGAAGTAAGCTACGCCAAATAAACGACGGATTATTTCCCGGTTTTGCAGTCAAGAAACTTCCTTTGGAGTAATACCGAGCTTTGAAAACTCTCCAGAAAAGGCCACTCAACACGGTCATAGGCCTTACTCATGTCTAATTAAAGACCAACAAAGCCTATCTTTCCCTGACGTTTTCACTTCAAAAAAATGTTGGGATCCAAAAGCCAACATTATATTATCAACAATATATCTACCCGGAATAAAGGCACTTTGTTGTTCAGAGATGCACAGGTGTAGAATATTTTTCATTCGATTAGCCAGCATTTTGGAAAAAAAAATTATAAATTACATTACAAAGGCAATTGGACGCCATTCGCTCAAACTTTCCGGGGTATCATTTTTAGGAATAAGCAAAATGTGAGTATGATTAATGTGATCCGGAAGCTTACCAGTCTCAAAAGCATGTTTGCAGAAATTAACAATGTCTGGTCCCACCACATCCCAGAAGTGCTGGTAGAAACCCGGACTGAACCCATCCGACCATGGAGATTTATCCGGGAACATATCAAAAGCTGCTTTTTTAACCTCCTCGCTACGGATTGGGCCTAGAAGATCACTACTATGCTGAGCGTTGAGTCGTTGTTGCACACACCCAAAAATAAAGTCAGTTGTACCACTCCCTGCATTAAAAAGATGATTAAAATAATCCTCGATTAATCTGCCAACATCAGTCGTCGTCGTCTGCTCTTAACAGAATTATGAAAGAAGCGTGTATTCAGGTCTCCTCCCTGAAGCCAGAATTCTTTTGCCCGTTGTCTCCAGTACACATTTTCCTTCTCTAGAAGTTCCAGATACTCAGACCCCGTTCCTCAGGCCTTCCTTTTTTGTCGTCATTCCCTCGATTTGCTGTGATAACTCCACCTCTGGGTCCACTACTTCGACTCCTGACTGCCTCCCCGACCTAGATGATGGCTCCCCATGCAAAAATTTACCATCACCATTAACCAGCCATTTACTACTTTTGCTCGCCATCCCCCTACCAGACCCAGCTCTCAACCAAGAGCCAAACGGATTCTCCCTGCTGCTTTCCGCAAACTGAAATCTCCAAGTGCACATGCGATCTACGTGATTCATTAATCCGCAGATAAAGTAGAAATGTGGCAATCGTTCATACTTGATGTTTACTCTAATAGGTACTCCTCCTCGCTTAAGTGTGACCTTACGTTTAAGAGAATTATTCACATCAAATATGACACGAATACGTAAAAATTCTTTCCACCCCCCGGTGAAGTTATTCACATCAGCTGAATCATAAGAGCCGACCTGATACCCAATGATTTTACAAATATCTTTCGTAACAAGTTCACGGGGTAGATCAAAAGCTCTAATCTAGAAACAAACTCTATCCAGCACAACAAATTTCAGGTTTTCATGATCGGCCAATTTATGCAAAATAAGTAGGGAATTTTCAAAGCACCACGGACCATCAACCCTAACCCGCTCATAATCGACATGATCGTAAAATTGAAAGAGATGCTTACGATCCTCCAGTTCTCAGATGTAGACCCCCTTACTTAGTCTCCAAACGTCTGCCATCGTGTCCCGAACGAATGGAAATTTGATCGGCCAATCAGGGAGTAACCGACCCACCATGCATAGTTGCGCTACAGTTGGAGGTGCGTTTGTAATAGCTCTATCAATATCAATTCCATCAGTATCGTCTTCATACTCCAAACGTAATCGGGCGTATAGTTCGTTTATGTCGCTCGCCATGATAGCGAGAATCAGATAAGCGATCTGCAAGTCACTTGGCCGACGATCGACGTCGGAGTATCAGAACCCTAGAAGTCTAGGGAGTGTAACCCTTTTATTAATAACGGAGTATAACATTTCTCTTATTTTTTTCACGGTTTTAAATGTTTTTGACAACCTCTTATCAGCAATGTCAACCAATGTCTAGATCTAAACGTTTTTTGAACATTATGCCAAAAAAAACTATTCAAATAAAGAGAGCGATACTTTGCTTTTTACTACTCCGTAATATTGATGTCAATGTCTCTCTCATGCAATATGTGTGCAATGCACATTGTGACATTAGAGATGCTCTAAGCGGAAATCGAATATCGTACACCCGATTGTACGTTGCTCACCGTATATAGGGGTGGACCGGTTCCGGTTCGGGCCTGGGCCCGGCCGGGCCTCGGTTCAGAAAAAGGAGGCCCGGGCCCGAACCGGTGGTGGGCGGTTCCGGTTCCGGGCCAGAACCGGGCCGGGCCGGGCCGGGCCGGGCCACCCGGAATGTTTTTTTTTTTTTTTCTTCTTCTCTTATTTAACCCCCTCCCCCTCCACCCCAAACCACCCCAAACCACCTCAAATGGCCCAAAATACCTAATCCAACCCAAAACTTAAAAAAAATTCAAAAAAAAAAAAAAATT